AAAAAAAAAAAAATTTTTTTTTAGAAGAAAATACAGGAGCAATGCACTGAGATCTAGTTTTTTGTTTGCTTGCTTGTTTGTTTATTAATTATTGTGATTTGGGTGAAAATTTACAGAGCAAATTCATTTTCCTTACAGCAGTTCACATACACTTTGTCTAATGACATTGACCACAATTTACCACAATGCAACAGCTCCCCTTCGACTTCCTTCCGATAATTACCTCTTCCCTGTGTCCACCCCTCCATGCCCTCCTGCCCCATGAGCTGTCTCCCAGTGCATAAGCAGCCCTTCTTTCTCCCATCGTTGTTCTCTCCAAGGAGTGTATCTACGTGAGGTAAATGTTCAACTCATATGCCTGTATTTTGCTTGGCTGGAAGCCACAGGTATGGGTTCAATTCCAGACCTGATGGGCAGCTAGGGGCCATAGTCTCAGTAGTTCCATCAGGCTCTATCGGACCAGCAAACCTGGTACCCCCCGCTTTTTTTTTTCTCCAAATGATTTTGGGTTTTGCCCACATTGTTCTCCCTCTCTATCCAGGATCTCCTACATAGATCCCCTTCCAGAGACCTAGTTTTAGACAATGGATTCTTAGATACAACAAAAGGTTGAGCAACAAAAAACAAAGTAATAACTTTTATGCAAAGAATCTTTTCAAGAATGGGCAGAAACAACTCACTCACAAACTCACTGCCATCAAATTGATTCAGACTCATAGTCATCCCCATTAGGTTTCCAAAGCTATAAATTTTTATGCAAGCAGGTTGCCTCATCTTTCTTCCCTGGAGCAACTGGTGGATTTGAAACACTGACCTTTTGGTTAGCAGCCAAATACCTTAACCACTATACCACCCGAGCTCAAGAAAGTGTAAAGACAACCCACAGAATGGGTTTAACATTCAGAATATTTAACTAACAAAAAAAAGAAAGCAACCCAATCAAAAAATGAACAAAGGATCTGAATAGATATTTCTCCACAGAAGATATACAAATAACAAATAAGCATATGAAAAGATGGTCTGTATCATCAATCCAACTCATGGTGACTCTATGCACAACTGCCTGCTCCTACACCTTCCCTAAGATGGCTTGTGGATCAGACTACTGCGCTCTACACAGTTTTTATTTGCTGATTTTTGGAAATAGATCACCAGGTGTTCCTTCCATGAATCATTTGGGAAATTAAAATCCCAGTGAGTTATCAGCTCACACCCATTATTGTTAGGTGCCATCAAGTCAGCTTCCTGACTCACAGTAAGTGACCTCATGTATTACAAAGTAGCACTGAGCGCCATAGGGCTTTCTTGGCCATATGTATCTTCATGGAGGCAGATCCCCAGGCCTTTTCTTGGGCAATGCCACTGTTGTTGTTGTTGTTGTTATGTGCTGTGGAGTCAAACCCGACTCATAGCGACCCCTCCTTGGGTTTCCGAGGCAGTATCACTACGGACGTACGATTGCCCAACATTCCTTCCGAGGAGTGGCTGTCACTAGGTGGGTTCAAACCACCAACCTTTCAGTTGGTAGACAAGTTTAAATAGCTTGCACCACCCAGTGACCTTTCATACCCACTAGGATGGCTATATCAGAAAAACACAAAGTAACAAATAAAGAGAACTTGGAACCCTTGTGCATTGTTGGTCGAAGTGTGAGATGGTACAGCCACTGTGGACAACAGTATGGTGATTCTTCAAAAAGATAAACATAGAATTATGGCATGAATCAACAAATCTACTCCTAGAACTGAGTAATGGGATCAAATGGACAATAGCAACCTGAAAGATTAGACAGGAACTTTAGAGTGTAGTAAGTGTATATTAATGGAGGAGCAGCAACTCAGTAAAGAAGGGTAAGAATGACTGTGTAACTTGAAGAATGAAATCAATGTCACTGGATTATACAAGTAGAATATGTAGAAAGTGTTGAATTGGTATATATTTTGCTGTGTATATTCTCAACAAATTTTTTTTTTTAAATTGAGAGAAAGGACTGAAACTGATACTTACACCCCAACGTTCACTGCATTACTTACAATAAACAAAAATCAGAAATAACAGGTATGTCAAGGCTAAAGGGAATATGTTGTTGTTGTTGTTGTTATGTGCCGTCGAGTCGGCCCCGACTCATAGCGACCCCTCCTTGGGTTTCCGAGGCAGTATCACTACGGAAGTAGGATTGCCCAACCTTCCTTCCGAGGAGTGGCTGGTGGGTTTGAACCGCCAGCCTTCTGGTTAGCAGTCAAGTGCTTTAGCCACTATGCTACCAGAGCTCCCTAAAGGGAATATACCCATGACCATATACAAGGTTGGCAGACAATATCTCTACATATATATTTGTACATGCTGTAAGAATATCCCTATGAGTTGTACTAACAGGAGGTAAAGTTACGATAACTTCTTAGGCACAATCAACCACCCTGATGGAGAAAGCTGTTGGACCCGTGGGCTCAGGATTATGGTTGCAGGGGACATCAAGCTCTACCAGCATAACTACTACACAAAAGCGTCGTGCTACATTCTACTTTGGTTAAGTAGCGACTGGGGTCTTAATAGCTTACAAGTGGCCATCTAGATGTAAAAATGAGTCTCCTCTCATACGGAGCAAAGAAGAATGAAGAAAACCAAAGATACATGGAAACAATTAGGCCAAGGGACTAGTGGACCATGCAATCCTCAGCCTATATGACCATGAGACCAGAAGAACTAGATGGTACCTGGCTGTCAACCACTCAGAAAGGGATCAGTGCAGGATATCCTGGATAGAGTGGGAGAACAATGTGGAAAAAACTCAAAATCATAAAAAAAAAAAAAAAAAAAAAAAAAAAAAAAAAAAAAAAGACCAGGTTTACAGGTCTGATAGAGCCTGGTGAGACCACTGAGACTATGGGCCCTCGTTACCCTTTAGATCTGGACTTGAACTTAGTCCCGTGGCTTCCAACCAAACAACAGACAGGCATATAGGATGAACATTTATATCAGGTAGATAAACTCCTTAGAACCATCGGTCATGGGAGAACAGAAAAGCAGTATTTGCACAGGGAGATAGCTCAGGGGGCAGGAATGCAAAGCAAAGGACACAGGTAAGAGGAAGTGGGAAGAACTACAGGGAGGAAGTGGGAAGATAACTATTACATTGTGGTGATTGCAGTCAATGTCATGAAACAAAATGTGAATGAACTGTTGTGTGGAAAATGAATTTGCTCTGTAAACTTTCACTCCAATCACAATAAAGATTTAAAGAAATAGAACACTTTGAACATACAATTACAGGGGGAAAAAAAAAAAACTTACCCTCCTGAGAGAACAGGTAACACCACTCGAACAAAAGGAGGATCAAATGGAAAGTTATCCTGAAAAAGTAAATAAGCAGGTATAATTCATTTTAAGAGGATTCTTAATACCATTTTTATTTAGAAAATTTTAAAACAGTGTATAAGAACATGTACATTTAACAGCCATCGCAAAAAAAAGTGATGGTTCCTCAAAAAACTAAAACCAGAACTACCATATGACCCAGTAATTCCAATCCTAGATACATACCCTAAAGGTTTGAAAGCGAACACTTGTACATCAACATTCACTGCAGCACTATTCACAACATGTTTCCCCTGCTACACAAAAGCAGAGTGTTCCTAAGAAACCTTTTGTAAGCCAAAATGGCATAAAATGAAGAAGCAACCACCATTAATTTATATGGGAAAAACTTTTGAGCATTCCCAGATCGAAAAAAAGCCCTAAAATAATCAAATCATACCAAATAACATATGGGACACAAATAACACTAACATATAATGTTCACAGACACAGTTCAAAACTATGGCAGCCTAATGTTGAGTGTAGTTCCCAGGGAAGGAACTATGCAACGCCACACTCACTGCTCAGTATGCACAGTGCCTCTTTAAAGGCTCGCTGCAAAACAAATGCTGAACACTAGTTTTGCTTTCTGCCTTTTTTCAAAAAAGTGAAAATCTTCCCCTTTCTTTCAGTTAGCAAGAACAGATACTAATGTAGGTCTTTCATAAAAGTTAAGTGGCATAAAGTGAATGTTAGAAAAGAGAAGGATACCTGTAGCCCAAATCTGAAAACAACCTAAATCCTCATCAACAGATAAATGGATAAACACAATGTGTTACATACATACAAGGGAATACTAATCAGCCAGTAGGAGAAATGATACATGCTACAACATGGGTGGAGCTTGAAGACATGCTGAGTAAAACAAATCAATCACAAAAGGACAAATATTGCATAACCTCATTTAAAGCAAATGTATAGAGACCAAAGTTTATTAGTGGTTACCAGGTATTTTAGGTTGGGTTCTCCAGAGAAGAAAAACCAGTGAAAGAGACAAAGACAGAAAGAAATTTATCTTAAGGAAATGGCTCATGCAGTTGTAGAGGCTGGCAAATCTCAAGTACATCAGTCAAACATCAAGCTGGTGGCCTCTCCAGATTCATACAGCTGCAAGGGCTGACAAACCCAAGACTGGCAGACAGTATACAGATGGCTGGCTTCACAGGATGACAAATCCAAGATGAGAAGGTAAAATGGCAGATTGTTGGCTCACAGGCTGCAAAGGTAACAATCTCAAGATCGGCCAGCAATATAGCAGGACACTGGGTCAAGTTCATAAACTGATGAGCTAGATACAGGATTAAGATGTGGCAGAAAGCCAGAGAGTTTTCCCAGACCACTCTCAAGGAAACTCTCTTTCAACTGATTGTCTGCTCATAGCGTACCTCATCATGGAGGTGATTATATTATATTAGATCTCATCATGAGGAATGACTACTTGATAACTTCTAAACCACTCAGAATCATAGTACAATCAAGTTGACACAACCTTAACTATCACACCAGGGTGGAAGGGAGGGGGAAAGGTGAGGTTATTGATTAATGGAGTACTAGTAAGTTTCAGTTTATGCTCATGGAAAAAATTACATTGATTAAGTGTGGTCAATAACTTGTACACCTCCTAAAAAGTTGAACTGATAAAAAATTGTGGGATAGACATATTTACAATGACAAATAAATAAACAATCATATAAAATCTGGTTATTTGGTTTGGAGGTTTCGTGTCATGGCTTCATGGTATATCCCAGTTAATTGGCCTAAAAACGTGTTTAGTGCTGCTGTTCTATCACCTAGTTTGTTGCATAGTGTCTGGGGTCTTAAAAACTGGCCAAGTGCCCATCCAAGGCATACACAACAACTGGTCTCTATTCACCTGGAGCAACGAGGAAAAAGGAGAATTAGGAACAGGATGAGGAAATGGAATGGGTAGCTAATTGTCACCTACCTTCTTTGCTGTGAAACCAAAAGAAATGGATGGTGCCAGCTACCATCATTTAACATTTTGATCAAAGATTCTACAGACAAATTCTGATCAAAAGGGGAAAATGCAGAATAGAATTTTAAATTTTTATGGATTCAACTTTCTACAGCTATGGGGGCTGGATGAATCCCTGAAACTACTGTCCTAAGATAATCTTTAAATGTTAAAATAAACCAAGAATAGCCCCTGAAATCTTCTTAAATCCAAACAATGTTGTGTTGTTGTTATGTGCTGTTGAGTTGGACCAGACTCATAGCGACCCTTCCTTGGGTTTCCAAGGTGGTATATCACTACTGAAGTAGACTGCCTAACCTTCCTTCCGAGGAGTGGCTAGTGGGTTTGAACTGCCAGCCTCCTGGTTAGCAGTCAAGTGCCTTAGGCACTATGCTACCAGAGCTCCTCTAATCCAAACAATAGTATAGCTTAACTAGTAGAAGAAGGTCTGCCTTGAGCATTACATATTCTTTTAAGATTTATCTAATGGGATCAAAATCAATAACAGCAACTTGAAAGATTAGATAGGAACCTTAGGGAGCAGTGAGTTTGTGTTAATGGATAAAGAACAACTCAAAACAGAGGGTGAGAATGGTCGTACAACTCAAAGAATGTAATCAGTGTCACTGAATTATACATGTAGAAATTGTTGAACTGGTGTGTGTTCTCCTGTGTATAAATAAGAGAAAAGGCAGCATGGAATAATAAGAAGGACAAATAAAAAGCACCAGTAAGATGGTGGAAACAAACAAAAAAACACAAACTCACTGCCATCATATATCAGTAATAACATTAAATATAAATGGACTAATTGTTTAAAAGATCAAGACTGTCTGACTTGATTAAAGGCCAGAAACACAAATCCAACAGAATTTCGGCCATTTATCTCCCAGACTGTTCCCTTCCTGCTATTTTACCTAGAACAGGAAAAAATAATGAAAACATTACCTAAATTTAAAAAAAATGAAAATGAGATAGAAAAGAAATTTCAGTAAATTCTCAAGCTACCGAGCACAATTTTATCTTCCACATTCTCAGTCTTGGACATCTTATGGGTCACCAGAAAAGCAGGAGCATCCCTTAATGAACTGAAGCAAAAATATTCACTAAAGTGGCCAAGAGTGTTAGACGTCAGCCCTTTGATAGACAAGAAGCAAAGAAGGCTGCAGCTCACTTCCTACAGCAGTGAGGTAGGGAAACAGCATATTCCCTCTCATAGGTCATGCAGATATATCTGGAAGGAAACTGAAATTACCTCCAATTTCTAAGTACAAACAAAAAGGATTAAAGGAAACAAGTAATGCCTTTTTAAAAAATCGATTTTGGGGAAAGGAAGCTAAACAATCACTTCATCCAGATATTTCCAGAAACACAAAAATACAATTTTAAATGGGAGGAAGAATAAATGTCATAATTCCAATAATCTACTTTACTTTACTCCCACCTTCCAATAAGATTCTGAAGAACATATAGCCCATGAAAGTTCAATACTATTGGGAGAAGAAGATAAAGCATATCTGATAGCTAAAACAGATAACCTTAAATTTCTATTGCAAGGTAGAAAATGAAGAAATCTATTTGAAAAAGATACAAACTTACTGGCAGTTATTACAATCTGCTACCAAATAAACAACTCACCATTTACCTTCAACTTAATAGTCATAATTAAAGACAAAGACGCAAAGCTTGGTAAAGTAATCTCATTCAGTCTCATTGTTTACAACTTTAAGTATGTGATCCCAGAAGAATGACTAAAAACCTCTTTTAAGCTTGCCAGTGGCCATCTAGATGCAACAATGGGTCTCTCATCACCCAGAGTAAAGAAGAATGAAGAAAACCAAAGACACATGGAAACAATTAGTCCAAGTGACTGGTACACCATGAAAGATCCTCAGCCTATACGAGTATGAGACCAGAAGAACTAGATGGTACCCGCCGGCTACCACTGTCAACCACTTGGTGGGAAAACTATGTAGGAGATCCTGGGTAGAGTAGAAGAACAATGTGGAACAAAACTCAGAATCATTTAAAAGGGTGGGGGGCAGTTTGCTGGTCTTTTAGAGCCTGGTGGAACCCCTGAGATTATGGCCCCTAGCTGCCCTTCAGGTCTGGAATTGAACCTACTCCTGTGGCTTTCAGCCAAACAAAAGACAGGCATATGAGCTGAACATTTATGTTAGGTAGATACACTCCTTGGAGAGATCAATCATTGGAGAACAGAAGGGCTGTGTATGCACAGGGAGATAGCTCAGGGGGCAAGAGTGCATGGGAGGGAAGGACACAGGGAAGAGGTAAAAATAGGAGGAGGAAGTGAGAGGGGAGCTGTTGCATTGCAGGATATTGCAGTCAATGTCATGAGACAAAGTACATATGAATTGCTGTATGGAAAGTAAATTTGCTTTGTAAACTTTCACCCAAGTCACAATAGAAATTAAAAAAAAAAAAAAGTTTGGGAAGTTATCTAGATAATTTGGATCCAGAAATATTTTTGAGAAAAAAGGTATGTCTGACCTCAATTATCTTTTGATTAAATATATTATTTAAACAAAAAAAAACACGTCTTTTAATTGATTCAAAAACAAAAACCAAACTCACTGCTGTTGAGTCAGATCCAACTCATAGCGACCCCTCCTTGGGTTTCCGAGGCAGTATCTCTATGGAAGCAGACTGGCCAATCTGCCTTCCAAGGAGTAGCTGGTCGGTTTGAACCGTCAAGACTTCTGGTTAGCAGTCAAATGCCTTAAGTACTACACCACCAGAGCTCCCTTTAATTGATTATGTGGGAATAAAACGAAAATTCACTGCCATTGAGTTGATTCTGACTCATAGCGACCACCTTTGGGTTTCCAAGGCAGCAAACAGGCCAGAAACACAAATACAACAGAATTTCACCCATTTACCTCCCAGACTGTTCCAATTCCTGACATTCTACCTAGAACAGGAAAAAATAATGAAAACATTACCTGCAATAACAAGTCCTTCAGTTTCCGGGCCAAGATTTCATATCCCCTTAAAGATACC